TGCTGCTTCTGGAACCACACTTCAAGAACCCCTGATGTAGCCTCTGATTGTACCCAAGGTGAGGGGAGGGGATAGCATCTTAATCATTTCCATCTCCAAATTTCCATTGTCAAGGAGGAGTCAAATCTGATTTTCATTTCAGGGGACGGGTACTGAGCTGGAGGGGTCAGATGGCTTGCCTGTACCTGTGGCCGTCACCGCCAGGGGCCTGGTTCAGCCCCACGGTGGTTGTCCCTGGCTGCTCCCTGCCTTGAGACTGTTGAACTCTTGCCCAACCCTGTGATGTTAGCTTTCACCTCTCACAGACCTCCACCTCTGAAACTCAAAACTTGATAGTACCTTGACAGGAGAGAGCTTCTGCATACCAAGAGGTTGGACATAGAGGTCTTCTGATAAATAGAATTTAGTGGAAATTCCATTTGGCCCAAAGATGAATTTAAAACAAACAAACAAACAAAAAAATTACTTGACCCAGTTCAGAGTGAGTGTGTGTGTGTGTGTGTGTGTGTGTGTGTAACACAGATTTGTTTTCTGGGACATCTTTTATGTTTATTCATTTATTCCTAGTTTTTCCTAGCCACGGCCCTGACTCTGTCCATGCGTACTTCCCTTCGGTATCCCGCAGACCACTGGCACAAGCGGAGTGGCCGAGCCAGGCAATGCGTGGGCAATGCGCGCGCTGGCTGAGGCCCTCGGAGACCCCAGGGCTGGGGCCTGGCCTGGCCACGCGCCCTACCAGCGCGGGGACCCTGGGACCGGCTTCTTTGTTAGGGCCGCGTGCACAGGGGGACCGGGAGCGCACCGGCCCCACTGCCGCCTGCTTAGCCCCAGGCCCCGAAGGACTTGTAAGCAGACAGGCTCGAGTCGAGAGGGTAAATTACGCCCCCGGGGACTTTTTAACGAAAATCCTAAATTTCATTTAGGCTGCTGGTAGACCGCGCGGTGGCAGAGCCCAGGCGGTGGCTGCCACAGTCCCCGGGCCCGCGCCTCCGCCCCTCCCCTTGCGCGCCTCGTGCAGCCGGGACCACCGGGAAGCCAATCCCTCTCGGACTGCGCGCCCCGGGCCGATCGGCGGTCCCCTCCCGCCCCCAGCCTGTCCCCTCTCCCTTCCGTTTCCTTCCACGTCCTCTTCCCGCGCCCTCCCCCACCTGCAGCCCTCCCCGCGGGCTGGGAGGAAAGTCGGTAATAAGAAACCCGTTCGGTGTCACTCGGAGAGGGGGGAGATAGCCCCAGAGATACACGGCAACCGAGAGAGAACTCATTTTGTGTAAAGAGGGCCTCGAGTCACCAGGGAATTCCTGGATTGTCTCAGGCTGTCGTGTGGGATGTCCATCACGCCGTGCGAACACCATCTGCTCGGTATTATGCTCTCAGTTGCCAGGCTACCTGCTGTACGCAGCAACACTTGACTGCCTGGCTCCACGTCCGCAGCGGCGGCCCAGACGCGCGGGGCGGGGGAGAGCCGAGTCCTGATTAAGCCATCTGCAGGGGGAGGGGACGCGGGCGGAGCGGGCGGAGCGGGCGGCCGCGTGCCGAGCGCCGGGCTGACACCACCATCTGCTGGGGCGCGGGGAGAACAGCAGCTGCTCCCAGGGCCCCGACGAGGAAAAGGCCCCATTCAGCTCTGGGCATTTTCAAGCCAGTTATTCACGACGTCGTTGTCACCCCGGCCTCATCCCCGCCGGCAGCCTTTTGTGACAATCCCTCCCAGGAGCCCGCAGTCTTTGGTTGGCTGCCAGTAACCCCGGCCCCTCTCACCCAAACACCGTGCATGTTCTTGAAAACACTTCAGAGAAAATCAAGCTTCCCTGCGCGCAGATTTATAAATAAACAGCTGGCTGTTCTTGGGAGATATTTTTAACACAGCTGTTTTTTTGAAGTCGAAAACTGGCTGGGGGGAGGTAAGGGTGTTTTTGACACCTCCCACCTCACTGGAGCCTTTAGAAGATGGCTAAGTTCTTGTCCCTGGAGGGGGGAAGATGTGTAAAACAGGTTCGTTGGGTTTGATTTCTTGTTCCTCCCTTTATTTTACTGGAGAGTGAGAAGGTTTGGAGAGTAATGAAGATCTATGTAAGCCAATTGGATTTGAGGGGAAGAGAATGTATTAAGATTCTGTGGAGAAAGCAAGGGAGGTCGTTGGGCAGGGAGTGGAGAACAAGCCAGTAATTAAAACTAAAAATACTGCATCATTTGGCTCCCAGGCATTACATGTCGCATGACGAAAGCTCAGCCTGGTTTCCTCTAATTGCACCACACAGTGTGTGTCCTCCTTAGAAACAAGAGCAGAGACTGAAATCATGAAATTTGACAGACTATTTCTCATTAAGCCTTCTTAGACTGGAGGTTAAAAGAAGTCTGTAATGTGAAGGAGCTCCGCCAGCTTAATTTGTAATGCAAGTCACTTGATGCGCCTTCACACTTTGCAATACACACCTGAGGCTGGGGCGGTAGGTGACTCTCACCTGCTGTTGAACGTAGCAGAGCTTGCTGGGAAGGCACCGAGATGTTTCATTGGTGATCCTTCACCAGTGCACACAGCCCTTCTGCCTGTGTTCTTCAGTGAGGAACCCCAAGGCATAACTTTGGGGAGAGGATCCTTTGGGGAAATAATGGAATCCCTGGAAGTAATCACTATTCTATCCCTTTGGGAGTATTTTTCCCCCACAGGGGGAAAAAAAGTGGCTCAATAGATGAACATCATCACCCCATTGGCCTCTCCCTTTCTTTTCCCTTTGGAGAGAAATCTGGGAAAGCAAAGGTTCCGCCTCCTCCCCTGGGGCATACTCTCCAGCTGTGTGGAGCTGGTCCCACAGGACAAGAATACCTCAAAGTGCACAAAGAAAACAGGGCCAGTTAGAGCAGCCCTCTCAAAACTCAAGGTACAAAAACCTGTTATCTTTCCTTGGGTCTCATTTCTCTTCAACTTCCTTCTCCTTTTCAAAACTGGAAAACATGAAATATACCGAAACATGCAGAAAAAATATATCAATATTCTTGCTGATGGACTATGCATCAGTGTAAACTGGTTTGTAAACGTGTTAAGTCAGCCATTTGGATGGGTGGCAAGAAACAGCTCTATCCTGTGAGAAGGAAGGGCTTGGAAAGCAGGTAGCAAGTGTTTTGAAGAAAGAAGACCCTGAAATATCTAGACCCCTGCAAGGGTCAAGCATAAAATAAACTTTTTTGGAAACATCATGATTGGGGACTTTTTTTTTGTTTTGGCATTAGACTTTTTTTTTTTAGCAACATTAAAAATATTGCATGGCTCTCTACCTAATTACAGAAAAAAATGCACACCCAAAAAAAGTTTTATGAACTTCAGGGCCAGCATTTATGTGTGACACTGCACATTCTTGAGAGACACGCTAGATATTTGGTCTACAGGCCACTCTTAAGTGTGCATCTGGCCCCATGCATAGCCTAGACAGGGCCAGGGCAAGTGGAAAGAATCTTGCATTTAGAACCAAGCTTAGTATTCTAGGTCTGCTAGTTAGGGGTCATTCACTTACTAATTGCTACACTAACTAGCAGGACACTTGAGCCACTGTTGCTGGGGTAAGAGGAGGAGTGTGTTGTGTCGTGGTCTTCGTTTTTGTTTATTCTGTTTGTTTGGGTAGATGGAAAGAGAGAAGAAGTGCAACCAAAGATGTGGTGTAGATAGAAATTCAAGGGTGGAAGGAAAAGTCTGCGAGGCTCAACCTATGCAGTGGGAGGAAACCAGAGTACAGCAAGCTGGGGTCGTGGGGAATTAAATCCAGGACTCTCCGTCTAGGACAGAGATGAACTCTGTGTTTTGAGAGGAAACTTCCAGCATGATCAACAATATTTACACTGAAAAGGTAGCAACACAAAAGAGGAAAATGCTAAAATCCAATTCACATTATAATAATTTTTAAAACAACCTCAGAGCTGTTCACATTCCTTTCTTATTCTTTAGGTCTCATGATAGTCACTCAGGGTATGGCCGTTTTTGTCCTTATAGCTGTACCCACTTACTTTGTATATACCTCAGAAATCAGCTCCTCTAGGTTCAGATTAGTTGATTAAAACTTTAATGAACTAGAAGAAGTATTTCTGCAGAACAATACTTGCCATTACCAGATATGCTTGGTAGAAGTGTCTAGAAACCAAATCTCACCCCACACCTGACGTCCCATCAACTATTTTTCCTACATAGTGCCCTCTCTGCCCAGCTCTTTAGACCCCTCTGAGCACATCCTCCAGGGCTTGGGCTGCAGGGGATTAGCTCTCTGTCACTTTCTGTCTCCGCAGGACCCCAGTCCTTAAAAATTGCCATTAGTTGACTCTCTGACATACAATTATAGAATCAAGAGTCCCAATCCAGCCCCCCCACATTCAAATCATCCTAGACACATGAGACACGATTCCATTTTTAAAGATGTTGAGCAATTACCAGCTTTGGTCAAAATAAAACATTGCCAATTCTCACCATCCACAACTCTGAGCAGCAAGATTTTTAAATCCCTTCAATGTTGTAATCAATTAGAATAACATCAAATTTCAGATCTGTTGATTTTAAAAAAAAATACCCAGCATTTTTCTGGGTTTGTCCCTCCTACTTGCTAAGATGTCCATTTTGCCAGATGGACGGTAAGGAGGAAGAATCGTGGGCGAGGTCAGGATGCCACCTCCAAGCTGACGGTGAGCCCAGCCTGAGGGCTTATTCCTTTCCCTAGGAGCGCTCGGAAATGAATTGAAAATCCAGTTCATATCCTTTAGTTTCACCTGAAACACACTGGACTTGGCTCAGACTTCCCAAATTGTGACAAAGCCACGCTCTGTCACAATCCCCTGTAGCCTCTGTTTCTACTGAGGGAAGGCGGGGTTTGAGGACTGCTGGATTGTTTTTATAGAAATATAATGGGTGCCCCTGAGGACCCCTAGGGCCTGCTCCCTTCCCCCTCCCAGGGCTTTCCCCTGAGAGGGCAGCGAGTGGCCATGAGGAATCACTGCATCCATCTCTCTTCTTGTCCCCCCAGGAGCCGCACCCAGTTGGGCTTCCCCGGACCACAGGCCCTTTGCAGTCCTCTGTGCCCCCAGGCTCGAGCAGCATGGTCTCTGGGGCCAGTCCTGCTGGTCCCGGCTTCCTGGGCAGCCAGCCTCAGGCAGCCATCATGAAGCAGATGCTGATTGATCAGCGGGCTCAGCTGATGGAGCAGCAGAAGCAACAGTTCCTGCGGGAGCAGAGGCAGCAGCAGCAGCAGCAGCAGCAGCAGCAACAGCAGCAGCAGATTCTGGCTGAGCAGGTACTGTGCCTCCGTGGTGCTATCCATCCATTCAACAAGCACTTATGTGGCACCTGTTGTCTGTGAGGGACTCACCACAATCCCTGTCCCCGGCACACAGACCAGCAATTCCCAGGACCACAGAAGAACCTACAGAATTTAGAGCTTTTCAATTAGTTAGGCTTTTTCCTCTAATGAATTAGTTTGTTCTTAAAAGGCAAGCGTCAGCCATCAATGTGAAGGCCCATTTGTCAGAGACAGTTCTTCAATCCGAGGCTGGCTCCTTGTCTTCTGGATCCTGGTACAGGGATCTGCGTCATCAGCCTGCAGTGGGGGCTGGCTCTCATTCTTCTGAGGACCTCATATTTCTAGCATGAAGCAAAAAAAATAATAATTCCAGGAACTTTGTTTCTCGGGAGGAAAGTGCAGGAGGAGGGACTGCAGAGAATTCTGCAGAATTGGTCACGAACAATGGACCCGGAACAATAGCAGCACAATAGGGCCTGCAGAACCACCTGGAAACCTGAACTGGGGGTCACAGAGAGGGTGAAAACTTAAGAAAGTTCCTGACAGCTTTTAAAACAGCTCAGGAAATCTGTGAGTTAAAGGAAGGCCTGACACAAATACACCACTACCTTAGGCATCTTTGTCCACCCGTGCTGTATAATTCCTCCAGCTTTGAAAGAAAGCCTTCCCTGCAGACCGCTCGTGTAGGTTTTGATTTGTTTTGTTTTTACAGATGCCTGAGCCTGATTTAGTATTATCCCAGGGAGGGCCTGAGGCCGCCTGCAAGAGATCCCCAGATGGCCCCTGTGGGGGCCTGCCCAGGGGATCTCACACAGCAGCTTCTTTATTGTGAGAGGTGGGAGGTTGTCATATAAGGCTCAAGGCCCAACATGGCTCGGACTCATGGTAATCCTTCTAGAATGTTCCTAATGAGCTCAGAATTCTAGAAATTTACAAAGCATCCACCACCGCCTATTTACAAGATTCCAGGTAGGACACGGGCATACCGATGTCCCTATTAACCAAGAACAGCAGCTCGAAGTAACACCAGTTATCCCCCAAAGAGAAAAATTGTCCTGTTGGGCACAGTTCACTCATGTTCCCTGTTTTTTGCTTTCCTTCCTGAACAGCTGTGTAATTATCTCCCTTTTTACCAAGGTCAGTCAGCCGCCTGGCAGCTATTGTACAAACAAACCTCTATCCCTCTCACCCTGCATAAGGTGTGTGACAAGCAGCCATGCTAATACCTCTCAGGCGGTGATACTTGGAGCTGCAGAGGGAAGCCGGGTTTTGTAAATCCTCTCCTCGGCCAATCCCAGGAAATTTCAGGTGTGCCTGAGATGTTGAGTGATGGCTTTTGATACGTGTGCTGCCACCAAAGCCCAGGGGGAAGTCAGGGTGACCAGGCAGAAATCCCAGTGCCAGTCTCAGGATACTCCTACTCAGGAGCCAGACCAGCCAAGCCCTGGGGGAATAAAGAAGGAGGTGGGAGCGTGTAGAAGGAGATGTAGCAAATGATGCCCAGACATCAAGAGGTGAGAAAATGAGCTAGACCCCTCGGAATCCAGGACCTGGAGAGAGAGAGAGAGAGAGGACTCCTTGGAAAAGATGACAGGGGGACTGTGACCTGAATGCAAATCTTTAGCAACCGTGTGAATTTATAATAGGGGTCCAAGTCGAGATTGTTTTTCTCAGGGTGAGAACCTGCCCATCCTCTTGCTTGCAGTGGTGATTTTGAAACAAACCACTTGGCCTCTGACTTCGTCGACCAGATTAAGTTTGAATAATTTCCTTCATATAGCTGGTTTCACAATCACATGAGATCATGTGTGCAAATGTCTTTGGAGGCTGTATGCTCTATACTAACTTACATGGGGACCCAACGTGTGACCTTGGTGTCAGAGAACCTTGTGAAGAGCTGCAACCCATGTGCCAGCCACATCAGAATGGCATCTTGCCCTGGGCCTGCAGATAGCACTTATTAGTGCAGGCTATCCTAGGGGGTCTCCAAGTGGTGAGCTGTCAACTTTTTGCTAGAGAATGAATACTGCCTGTCACATCAACACCTTGCTGATTTTCTGTCTCTGCAGCATTGAAAGTGTCCTGGCAATTTTTAATTTTGGAAACAATCGTAAACACTTGGGTTTCCTGAAAGGCCATATGAGGAAAACAGAAGGATTTGGGATAGCAGATCTGTGGGAACTTTAAACTGAGTCTCGTTGAAAGCCCGCGTGGGTTAACATTAAGTGCCTCACTCTCCAGGAGCAAGGCCCTGTCACTTCTCATCTGTTCACAAAGGGTCAACAGAATTGGGGATTTTAGATATGAAAGAAATCGAGATAGTGAAGCCCAATCATTTTACAAATGAGGACATTAAGGTGTCATGGTTTGGATATGAAATATACCCCAAAAGCTCCGGTTAGTACAAGAATGTGTAGGTGAGGAGACTGGATTAGGAGAGCTGTGACCTAATCAGTTCATCCTAGTTTGAATGAGTCACTGCAAGCAGGAGGGGGGTCACTGCAGAATGCCCTGGAAGGATATGTCCCCTTCCTCTCCCTTCCTCTCTCTACCTCCTGGGAACCATAAGTAGAGCCGGGGTCCTCTACCATACCCTTCTGCCAGGATGGCCTGCTTTACTTGGGTCCAGAGCAATGGAGTCGGTCAACCGTGCACTGAACCTCTAAAACCATGATCCAAAAATAAACTTTTCTTCCTCTAAGTTGTTCTTGTCAGGTGTTTCAGTCACAGTGACGAAAGCTAACACTTAAGGCCAGGGAGCTTACGTGATTTATTCGAGATCACAGAACTAGAGAGAGGCAGAGCCAAGAGGGAAATGGGACTCCTGACTCCTGACTCCAGGCCATAGCCCAGGTTTGTTGCTCTCTGTGAGTGGCACAGTTTAATCCTTTTTTTTTTTTTTTTTAATGCTGGGAATCAAACCCCGGGCCTGGAGCATGCTAGGCAAGTGCTCTGCCACTGAACTATACCCCAGACCTAAATTCCTGCATATGATGGGAAGTTCAGCTGAGGAGAACCTTTTAAATGCTCAGCTAACTCTCAATCATGCCTCTGTATTACTGCCTAAAAGATTAGCATGGTTTCTGGTGGACTCTTTAATGGTCTGCACGTCGATAAATGTCAAGAGTTCTCTGCAGAGTCCTATGGTAGGCACTCAGCTGGGGTCAACGGGGTAGAGGCTGTGTGTTTTTCTTCTGGATGCCAGAATGCTGGCTGGCCTTGTAGAGAAAAAGAAAATTATAGAGTTGCTCAGGAACAAACACGAGAGAAAAAAATAGAAGCCAACACATGTGGTAAGAAGTGGTCTATGTGTGTTATTTTTATAATGAATACTCTAAAGAGCAGGGCCTTGTTGTAGGTTCCTTAGAGCCCTTGCAGATGGAGGTGCTTCATGCATATTCAGCAGATGCAAGAAGGAGGTCAACCAGCCTCCGAAGGTCACGCAGCTACTCTTGGGGGCAGCCCTAGAACTAATACCTCTTTCTGTTCTCTTTCCACCTCACTCTGGGTCCTCTTGCTTTGCACATACAGAATGATAATGATCGTAATAGCCTGCCTGGTGTACTGGTAACAATACTAGTAGTGCAAATTCCCAGGAGTGGCAGAAGAAAGACGAAAATGCTGGCCTCCTGGATCTTGGTACATGTGGAATCCCATGTGGTTTCCTCAAAGCAGTAAATGCTGAATATTTTACTTGTATTAGATGTATGTTCAGGCAGTGTGGCTTCATGGGAATAAGATTAGCTCTTTTATATAGCCCCTGAGGATCGCATCCTCCTATGCCCAGGTCATTGAAAAGTAGTTGTTTGTCCCTTTGAGCTGGGTCCCCTTGGTGCTAAGGAAAGGCATGCAGGCCAAACTTGGGAAATTCAAATCCAAACCACCTCCCTCGACACACATTCCTCATGAGCAGCAAGTCACATATCAGAAATGCAGGAAGATATTCACCAAAAGCACATTCAGAAATGTTGGTAGCAAAGATATCATGTCAGCCCCATACTAGAAACACCCAAAACGACCACCAGCGGTAGGATGGGTGAATTGTGGTATATTCATAGGATCAATGCTATTCAATAGTAATAAGAAAGCAATCAGTGTACAACCCAGCACAGGTGAAACTCACAAATACAGCAGTGAGCATAAGAAGAAGACAGACACAAAAGCAGCATTATATTAGTCCATTTTACAATAAATTTATTTTTTATTTTTTATTCCTTGGTACTGGGGATTAAACCCAGGGGGACTTTAACCACTGAGCCATATCCCCAACCCTTTTTTATCTTGAGACAGCATCCAGCTAAGTGCTAAAGGTCTTGCTAAGTCACCGAGGCTGGCCTCGAACTTACAATCCTCCTGCCTCAGCCTCTAGAGTTGCTGGGATTGCAGGCATGCGCCACCGTGCCAGGTTGAAGCCCTTTCTATGAAGTACAAAAGCAGACTTAACCAGTGGACATTGTTAAAAGTTAGGCTAATCATACCCCTGGTCAAGGGAGGGTGATGACCAGAGGGGCACCAGGAGCTGTTATAGACCTATGGAAGCTGTTACCTGGATTGTGTTCACTTTGTACAAATCCACCCACCTGTGTACTTGAACTTTGCACACTTTCCTGTTTGCACGTTATTTTTCAACATAAAGTTGAGTTTTGGGAAACAACCCTGCCTTCCCCAACTCCCAGGATGTATAATCAAGTGTCCTTCCCCCGTCTCACGTCCCCATCTCTTTTGTCCTCTCTCGTTCTAGCAGTTGCAGCAGTCTCATCTCCCCCGGCAACACCTCCAGCAACAGCGGAACCCATACCCTGTGCAGCAAGTCAATCAGTTTCAAGGTGAGGCCGTTCTGCACCTCTTCTGCCTTATCCTTCTCAGTGGCAAAGCGTAGGGAATGCGTGGCCGGTGGCGTTGCCTTACAGTCTGTATTTGTGTCTAGAGAGTCTCGCAAATATTTAGCAGCTGGCAGGAGAAGAGTACCAAGCATTCAGAATGGATTCCTGGAGGCCCCTATTGTGCTAGGAATGATCATTTTGGTCACTGGGTCACAGAGAGCCCAGGGGGAATGGGGTGGTGGTGGAAGGGAAGACTCAGGCAGCTGTCTTTTGGCAAAGGAACAGCATCTTTCACTAGTTTAGCAACCAGTAAGGACATACCAGTGCCTACTGGCCCAGTATCAGCATTTTTTATGTCTAGATGGTCATGTTAGTGACCACAGGACCCAAGTCCTGGGCTGTATCTTTCTTGCTAATCCCAACAGGTGAGGTGACCAAAGCCCTCACTTCCAACAACCCAGTGGAAGAATCTGGCTTGAAACAAACACCAGTCTATGCTGAACGTAGGCCAAGTGAATTGTGCCTAACCTGCTGCCAGTTGCAAAAATCCTGAATTGTGGGCACACTGTATGCCAGCGTAGCCACCTCATGTAAATGCAGAAGGCCCACTCGAATATCAAGCCCTCCCAGTCTCCAAGAGAGAACCCTGGAGAGTCCCGTATGGCTGGAGGAAGAGCCTAGGACCCTTCCCAATCTTACCCACAAGAGTTTTCAGGGGGCCACAGAAACCCTAATTCTCACCCTCTGCCTGTTTAGTGGGATTCAGATCAGTGTTCTAACCCCTCGATGTAACCGACCCTTTAAGAATCTGCTGGAAGCATGTTATCTGCAGGAAAATGGATGGAAGAGTCCCTTCATTTGTCTCATTGTAACAAGTGAAATAAACCAAACTCAGAAAGTCAAGTATCATACGAAATTGTATTTTTATATGGTGTGCATGTACAAATATGTAACAACAGATCTCAACTTTATATACAACTGTAACACACCAGTTTAAAAAAAATAGGGGGAAAAAGAATCTGTTGGAAGCTACAGAGCCTCTGCACAGAAATATGCATATATGTAAATATATGCAAACTCTGACATCATTGCCCATGTGTGACACTCTGGAATTTGATCAATAGACTAGGTGAACAATTTATGACCTGGGGTAGCAGGTCTCAGTCTTTGGGTTATAACAGATGATTAAAATGATTTAGTGAGTCATAATTCACATGTTTTAAATGAAATACAATAGAAATTATCAGGGAATATCAGAAATGTTAGTTTCTATTATAAACCCATGTATATATATATACTGGGTCGACCACTATGATTTGTGGCTTAATGAGTGTGAAACCCACTAGCAGTTACTGATAGATCTTGCTGAAGAGTGCTTGTGAAAACACTAGGCCCTGAATAACTCCTATTCCTTTGCACCCCTGGACCATTTATATGACCCTAGACCCCTTTGGACTTGACCCAGGAAAGACAAAAAGAATTGACCTGTGCACAGGTGTACTGATCAGTGCCAGTATTCTTTGAAGAAGTACCGTTTCAAGTTTCTCCACTGGAGAGTCACTGTGACATAAAGTCTTTGTCGCAGATACAGAGCCCTCCTTTTCACCTGAGTTCTCAAACTTGAGCCTGCAACAGAGTCACCGGCAGAGCTCATTAAAGCCCAGACAGCTGGGCCCCTTTAACAGGGTTTCTGACTCAGTAGGTCCAGCCTGGGGCCGGAGAGTTTGCATTTCTAACAGGTTCTCAGGAGTTGCAATCCAGCTGGCTAGGGGAGCACACCTTATTGCTGCTTTAAAAACATAAATGCCGATATACCAATCACAGAGTCCCTTGAATTTTCTAGGTTCATGACTCACTTATCGTTTTTGAAATAAAGGATCCACCAGAGTTGAATAATTCCTCTGTGTTACAGGACGTAGATATGTATTTATATGACTCTTCTGAATGCTTTGAGTCTAGGTTAAAAGTTAGTAGGGCCCCTGAGCTGATTGCTCTGAGATATAATAATTTTTTTGCTATGTTCACTATTTTCCAGGATCCCTAGATAGTGTGATGTTATGTTCCTGGGAAGATGGTAAATTGATAGATAATAAATACAGTCCTCAGAGAGAAGCTCTATTAGGAATTACTTGCATGGTTATTACACCATGCTCGTAACCACCACGAAGTGTAAAGGTCTTAATGACCATCCTTTTTCCTGTTGAGTTCCTTGCCTCTGAGTGATCATCCATACCAAATGCTTCTTTTCCACAAATATAGAATTGTGAATGAAAATAGAACATAGAAACTTTTAGGGAAAAAAAACTTCATATTGCCATCTCTGTTTGAATATGGAAGATTTTCGCTGACATTGTGATGTTAACCAACAGACAAGAAAATTAATGTGACTACAGTGTCTCACAATAATATCTGTTTTAGACAAAAAGAAAAAGTAGTCTGTTTAACCCACTTAGTAATCGGGTAAAAACAATTAATTCTTTGGATGCATTTGAATTTTTTTCCTTTGTATGTTTAAAATAACGGAAGGCATAAAACTGGGCTAATAGAAAGCTTTATATTTCGCTCAGGTTGAAAATATTGTGCTGATTGCTGATATTTAAATGCTTTTCTTAAAAATAAGAATTGCATCTAGATGGTGCCGTCATTTATGCTAAGTAAAAGTAATAGTTGGCTTTGAATAATGTTTCACTACCTGTTAAAGGGCATTTCAACATTTCTGCCTTCTAAAGAAAGGAACCTATTTCCCATTCACAAAATTAGTCCAAACAATACTCGGTCCATCAACATCCATTATAAATATAAAACTAAAATGTCCAAATTATGAAAGTCCTCTAATCTGTGTCCAGCCGTCCTCTCCATCAGTCTGTTTATATAATCTGAGTCTATCCAATCAATCTCTGAGTCAGCAATATTTTTCCCTTAAATTTTTTGTAAACAACTCAATAACTCATTTCACGATCTGATTGGCCATGCAGTCGATACAAATTCAGTGGTGAAGGTCACAAAACTTTATAACAAGATTACAAGTTGAAGGAGATACTACCATCCAGTGTTTGACCATGAGGGTTTGATTTTTTTTTTTCCAAAAATTACTTGGATATAATTAAGCTTAAAAAAATTGAAATGCTTCTAGGGATTTAAGTTTTTAGATCTTTCAGTTTCCCCTTAGTACTGTTTCATTTTTCAGTGTAGCCTCATATTGATCAGAAGCCACAAAAACTTAAGTCATAATCAAAATCCCCATAATTTTATTTCTTAAAGAAAGGAAGAAAATATGGAGACGTATTTGCTGCCCAGAAATCAATAACCCCATCAGGAAGACAAAAACATGCTTCAGTTATCTGCCAAGGTGCCAGGCTTAACAAGGTTAGACTGTTCTCAGCTGGTTTCTCATCACAGTTCCAGATGGGATCAAATTTGCTTATAATATCGATCAGCTCCTGTGCTGCATCTTCTTTAAATGTCCAGGAAAAAGAACTATTTTTCTTTTTCCCATAGACTTAATCATTAGCAGAGCCGTAGAAAAATCTATTTTTGTGCTCCTCCCAGCCCTTTACAACATTGACTGGTGTTCCACAGGTGACATTTCCATTCACTTGGCTGGTCTGGAAATGTTATGGGAATCAGAAAGAAGGGCTTCATTCAAATGCCTAATTGAAGTTGAATGACTTGGTGCTGATAGATATTCTGGCCAACATTTAAACTGCGTCACTGGAACTGTTGGTGATCTGCAGAGAGAAGTTCACAGTCATTGCAGATTGGAAAGGGTAGACTTTGCTACAAGGTTCATTGCCAAGTGGCAAGTAACAAGATGATTTCTTTTTCTAGCTCTAGAAGCTGATCAGTTTGAACTGACATGTATGAGTCAGAGAATCCAGAGCATGTGGAAATCTACAGGATGGATCTAAAAAAATGTCCCATTTGTCAAAATAGCTACTGGGCAGAAGCGATGACATCCGACCTCTCAAATCCTACTCCAGTCTCCAGGGAAATCAGCCTAATGGTTTCCATTGATAGCATTCCCTACTCTGCCACATTCCACTTCACAAACAGAATGTGCAGCGTGATCAGACATTTCCTCTTAATTTAGCTGGAGAGATGAATTCCCCCCTCACCTTCAAAGAAAATGGTATCCTGTTGGGTGGTTGGCATCATATCCAGAAGAGTGAGAAAGAGTTTGCTTCTGAAATGCACACCTGTAATCCCACTGACTCAGGAGGCTGAGACAGGAGGAGTGCAAGTTTAAGGCCAGCTTCAGCAACTTAGAGAGGCCTTAAGCAACTTAGTGAGACCCTATTTCAAAATTTTAAAAAAGGCTGGGGATGTGACTCAGTGGTTAAGTACCCCTGGGTTCAATTCCCAGTACAAAAAGTAGCGGAAATTTGGGTGACTTTAATTTTTGTCTTTGTGCTTTTCAATAATTTCCAAATTTTGCATAATCAGCATATGTTATAATTAGAAAAATGATAATCATTTTTATTAAAGATATATTATCAGAGTAAATCCTTTCATATTAAGGATTTTGTCATTTCCAAAGGAAAGTCCAGCAACTTGTCACAGTATAATGTTTATGGAGGAGAGTGAGTGATGAGTGTCCTGTGTTTTCCTGCAGGCTCACCCCAGGATATAGCAGCCGTGAGAAGCCAGGCAGCCCTCCAGAGCATGCGGACGTCACGGTTGATGGCACAGAACGCAGGCATGATGGGAATGGGGCCCTCCCAGAACCCAGGGACGATGGCCACAGCTGCGGCCCAGTCAGAGATGGGACTGGTCCCTTACAGCACCACACCTACCAGCCAGCCAGGAATGTACAGTATGAGCACAGGAATGACCCAAATGTTGCAGCACCCAAACCAAAGTGGCATGAGCATCACACACAACCAAGCCCAGGGGCCGAGGCAGCCTGCCTCTGGCCAAGGGGTCGGCATGGTGAGTGGCTTTGGTCAGAGCATGCTGGTGAACTCAGCCCTGACCCAGCAGCACCAGCAGATGAAAGGCCCAGTGGGCCAGGCCTTACCAAGGCCCCAAGCCCCTCCAAGACTTCAGAGCATCATGGGAACTGTCCAGCAAGGAGCGCAAAGCTGGCAACAGAGGAGCTTGCAGGGAATGCCCGGAAGGACTAGTGGAGAACTGGGCCCATTCAACAATGGCGCCAGCTACCCACTTCAAGCCGGCCAACCCAGACTGACCAAGCAGCACTTCCCCCAGGGACTGAGCCAGTCGGTTATGGACGCTAACACTGGCACAGTGAGAACCCTCAACCCGGCTGCCATGGGTCGGCAGATGATGCCCCCACTCCCGGGGCAGCAGGGCACCAGCCAGGCGAGGCCCATGGTCATGTCTGGGCTGAACCAGGGCGTCCCTGGCATGCCAGCCTTCAGCCAGCCCCCAGCACAGCAGCAGATGCCCAGTGGCAGCTTTGCCCCCAGCAGCCAGAGTCAAGCCTATGAGCGGAACCCTCCTCAGGACATGCCATACAATTACAGCGAAGGCGCGGGGGCTTCCTTCCCTGGACTCCCGGATGGTGCAGACCTAGTGGACTCCATCATCAAAAGCGGGCCAGGGGATGAGTGGATGCAAGAGCTTGATGAATTATTTGGTAACCCCTAGTCAAGAGGGGTCCCGGGAGCCACAGCTACAGTGGTACAGGCTTACCACGTGGAAAAGAAACAGGATGCTGACCCATCCTTGTTTTTTTGTTTTTTTGACCCACGTAAACTGAGCAAAACTACAGCTGGCTGATGGTGGAAGACCCAGGTGTCCACCATGGCCCAGTGGGGCCTCGTTCACCTGGTTTTCACACAGCAATCGAGCTGAGACGCCATGCCGATCCCTGCTGCAAAAGAGGAGATGGGGAGGGCAGGGGGGGAAGACGAAGGAAGTGAAGCCCCTCTGCTCAGCGCCCCCTGTGATCGCCCGACCCAGCAAGAGCTGCTCCAGCCCAGAGGGACTGGACTGTGGCCAGAGGTGAGGTACCACCAGCCCTCCTGCTCCAGGTCCAGGGACTACAGCTTAGGAGACACAAGAGACAGAGCCTCAGCCAGGGAGAGTCCCCCAGAGGCTGCCAGCCACCGCACAGGCAGGTGCAGGTCAGAAACGCTCCAGTCTCTGAGTGGGAAGAGATGCGCCCTTCCAGACGCGCTCCTGTATTTGCAGAACAGGCAGGAAGAACAGGGACTGATCCCAAAGGACCACCAAGGATCCTGCAGGCCTGTCTTCTGTCCCTGCCCATGAACCTCAGGCCAGCTGAGCTTGAGAAGGGCCTTCCGGCAGTCCTAGGGAGCTGCCCCATGCCAATCACCACTCCAGGTGGAGCGGGAGTCTTTGGGGGTCAGTACAATAATAGACAAGCAGGTGGCTCTCATCTGCTCCTGGGGACCACAGGGTGGAGGGACCCCTGCTGGATTGTGTGGTCAGCCAGCCCTCCTCCTTCACCCCTGCCTCTGGACCCCCTCACTGCACCCCAGCCTGCCTTTGCTTCTCCTTAAAGACCATCCAAGAAGAGGTGAAGCTTTGGAGCAAAGTCAGAATAAATGCAAAACTGAGACAACGCCTGGGAGGCCAAGGGGACACTGGAGACTCTTTCTCCCACTTGCGTAGAGTGGAACGGAGTGCGCTGCGCGTGTGGGTTTACACGAGCTACGCGTCTGATGCTCCTGATACCCCCAGGGAGGAGTGGCCTGGAGAGCACCAGTTCTGACTCTCTCGGTGAGAATCCCAGGGGTGTCATTCTAAAATTGGCCTTGCACAACATCTTTCTCATCATCAAACACCAGTATAAAACCCCAGAGATGGAGGAACAGAAAAATCAATAGCTCCACTTTCCGGATTTGGATAGTGAACCGGGGAGGTTCCTTTCCTAAGGGCAAGGTGACCCACTTCGGGAATTCTGTACAGATGTCCTCTGATGCTCTCAGCTCCACCCTAAGTGACACCTCCATGTCTGTTGGTCTGCCTCCCCTCCCATGGAGGCAAAGTGGCACAAGTTGAATGGACTTTCCTCCTGTCCCTGGTCCCCTCGTGTCCTACTTGCTGGCTCCCTTCTGTGCACCAACACACAACTCGGCACAGGAGGTCAGAACCCATGGAGGCCGCCCTGGCCGAAGGCGAGTTCCAGGGGAAAGCTGGGCAGAGGACTGTGCGGAGGAGGCAGGCAGGCATCGGCCTTGACTTGCTCTGCATCTGCCAGGAGTCTAGACCTGTTCAGGGGAGAGGGGAGGCCAGAGGCACCTGGCTGATGGAAGGTGGTGGCAGGGTGACTGTGAACTTCCTGAATGGGGAGGGAAGCTGAGAAGAAACAGATGAAAACCAAAAAAGTAAAAAACAAATGCGAGATACAGATTCATAATTATTACCCTTTCCTGCAAGGTTCAGGAAATGAATATATAAGCAATGAGGAGGAGCTGGAGGAGGCTGATGGAGAGGGGGAGGCTCCATCATCTCCTCAAAGCTTCCTCCAGCCGCTCAGTCCTGGGACCAACGAATAGAGAGGTAGATTTTAATAAGGTTGTTTTGTTTTGTTTTTACTACGGTGCTGATGTATATGTAATGTCTAAAAAAAAAAAAAAGTTATTTGTACATAAGTTTTTACAATACTACAGATATCACTGGGTCTACTATCTGTAAAAAAAATATATACATATAAATATATATATACTGTTTGTTTAAAATAGAGTATTTTTATTTCATTCCTTCACTCATCATCACAACAGTGGTATTGCACTTCAGATTACATCTAATGACTAATTTGTACTGTATGACCTATGGCAACTGGCTCCATTTGATTCAGATTTTTCTAGTTTTCTGTTTTTACTTTGTACATTGAGCATTGCTTATTTCCTTTTAAGAGATGTACAGGACTCTGAAATGTAGAAATGAGGTGATGTTGACATACCACTTTTAAAGAAAAAAAAAACAAAACAAAACAAAAATAAATGATCATTATCTGAATCAATCCCAAGTAGATTTCATTTTGGGATTCTCCCTGGATCTCCAGCATTAAAATAAGTGGACATATTATTCCTGGGTTTTAATTAATTGATTAACTGCCGTTCTTTTCTCAAAATTTGGATGTCACGATTTAGAGATTTGTTTAACAATGGACATCAATCATTCCTGCCCTTTTTAATCCAACCTCACAACTGAAACTTTCTAAATTTGCTGGTGCTCTCTGGAGGGTGTGGCCAAGGGAAGGGAGAAGTCTCCTTGGCAAGGGGACATTTTGGGGTCCATTTATCAATTCAGTATCATAGCAATTCAATTTCCAGCTGGCACGTTCAGAGCACTCGGAAAATGGATAATAAAAATTTGGCGGGGGGGGCAAGAATCAAGAAATAAAGCAGGCAAATGGCACACACCTATAATCCCAGCTACTCAGGAGGCTAAGGCAAGAGGATCGCAAGTTCAAGGCCAAGTCTGGGCCACTTAGCAAGATCCCGTCTCAAAAAATAAAAAGGTCTGCAGATGTATCTCAGTAGAAGAGCACCTCTGGGCTCAATCTCGGTGCTGCATGAACACAAAATTAATCAATATGTTAGCGGGGAGTAATATAGGGGTCTCACTCCACAACCGTGGACACTATCAGTAACATTCCCCCCTCCTCGATTTCTTATTTCTACAGCCCACGTAACATCTCTCAAAGCCACAGCCCAGCCTGACTTTGCCTGCACCCACCCCCAGAATTGAAAATGCTTACAAGTTTGTGCCCCTCCAGTGACTTTATCCAGTGCCTCACTGTACAGGACAGGAAAGGAGTTAACATGCTGGACACACTCTGAGACACTAGGTGTGCTCCAGAGCTCCCTGCAGGGTCAGCAGAGGCGGGGACTGCTTGCTTGGTTTCTTCCTCTGCTCAGTCCTTTCTCCCCGCTCCCTTTCCCTTCCCCTTCTGCAAGCCGCTTATTAATCAGTTATATGCATGTGAATCCATTTCTCCATTTCTAGAAGACCTGCCCCAAGTCTCCCATCAAACTTTAAAAAGCATAGTGAAACAATATATTTCAAAACTGTTTGGGGGGAGCGGAAAAAATAGACCACAGAACAAAGTCATCCTCAGAAATGGACCCAAAACAAAGGTGTTCTTGTCCCTACCAACAACCCCATTGTTACACCTAATGCGAGTCATGTGAATTGCCTGATAATCCCCTTCTCCATATTCACATTGTCCCAGGGCCTCACATGGGTCTTTCATAGCTGATTCTCTCTAACAGGATGTTTGCTCAAGCAACTCACACTATCTTTTTGGTTTTGATGCCTCTTAAGACTCGATTCATAGAAACTCTCTCATTGTGACATTGACTCTTTTTAGGTAGTGAATCTGATTTCTAAATAAAATTTTGACCAAATTCTAATATACTAAAAAATGTATGTACAACTGTCACATCAATCAGAAACTCTCTCTTTGGCCAGTACATCTGCTCCATGTAGCCAAATCTAATAGGAGTTAAAATAGTCAAGAGGTGGCTTGGTGACCATGGAATTAGAATGAAGGAAACAAACTCTAAGACGCAAAGTACACTCACTATTTCCACATGTCGTTTATCCAAAAGTGTGTGTGTATGCGTGCATGTGTGAGTGTGTGTGTGTATACATCTGTGCATGGTTTACACTGCCCAAAAGGAATTTAAGTGAAAAATAGGACTTCCTTAAACATACTACAGTACAAGATATGAAAGGTATTTTTTATTCCCACTTGTAAAGGACATGATCATGCAATAATGATGCTATCGAGTCAAGAATCTGTGCCCTCTCTTCCTTCATTGTCTTCCAAGTATTAAAAAAAAAAAAGTCCCAATTCAAGCCACCATCATAACTGATAGAAAGCTATGAATTGCTGGAGTAGCATGGCCAGCAAGTGACAGGACAGGACAGGGTGGCCTGGCCCTGGAGTCTTCACTGCTCATCCAAAACCAAGCAGGCAAGGAGTGGAGAGGCAGGGCTCATACCCCAGGGCCCCACTGCAGACCTGCACTGCGTGTGTCTGGATATTCAAACTGCTATTTGGGTCTGGGAGCTTGCTATGACTTCCTGCCCTACTGATCTGGAAACTAGTATTTAGATGCCAGTTTTTCTGGAAAAACTGACGGAGGGCTCTTCTCCTAATGTTAAAATGTTTTATGACACTTTCCCAAGGTCTTTGTGGGCTATGAGGTAGAAACGTTCCCATTTTATAAAAGAGGGAACTCCACCTGCGTGGTGCCAGCGCCAGCCGCTCAGGCTCAGGGTAGCCACCTGGGTTCTGCCGACATGCTTTGTCACACCCTAAAGCCCAGATGTGCAGCAGAACCCAATCCAGGTTCTACAGCTGGTGATAGGACCCTGTTTCCTCTACGCAGGGCCAAGAAGAGTTACTCAGCATCCAATTCCTTGGTGGTTCCTTAAGATGATACCTTTTTTCTTTTTCCTTGTTCTTTATAAAGTACATTTTCATAGTCGGTGTGACCTGCGCTGTTAGTTGCTGGCTCTCTTCTGTAGCTACTATGTGTTTACCTGCCTTCTCCCCTTACAGCCACCCCATGCTTCCAAGCCACCAGAGCAGGAGGCTCGGTTGCCTTAGCAATATTTGTCGGGAACTTTCCATCAAGACAGAGGCTGTCTCAGAGGCAGGCTAAGTCAGCGATCCACAGAAAGCCCAGCCCACAGGTCAGGCTGCTGTGTCCCCACAAAAACAATCGTGACTTCAACCTGCACTTCCAAAACTAGAGCTGGATACATGTCCACTGAGGACATGGAGAGACCCACCCAGAAAATTCCACCCTGAAATAAACAGGAAATGTATTCTCTAAAGGATGTGTTTCCACAAAGCCATTCCAAGAAAAACAAAATGAAGACTTTTCTTTTTATTTATTTAACAAATGACACCATGTGGAGGCAGCTTTTGTAGGAATGAAAGGGAAGAGAAGAAGCTAGAAGGGCCACCTCAGGTTCTTGGTGATATGAGGTCCAGCAGTATGCAATCCCCAGGCCACTGAGCACAGTCAACAGAGACAATGTCCTCAGACTCAGCTCCAAACCACTCATCCTGCAGGGGGGACAGGGAAAGGAGTGACCACCTGGGCCACTCTGAGGAAGCTGGGAGCCTTGGCACGTGGTCAATGCTGCCCAGAACACTTGTGTTTTTGCCATTTGAAATTTTTGCTTTGTCACATAAATTAAAGGAGATGCCCAGCCACAGAGGTCAGTTCACTCCTTTGATCACTCAAAGGATTATGGAGACTGGGCAAGATGATCTCCCTGCATTTTACAGAGAGGATACAGAACTGTCACAGGACTGGGAAAGTCTGCATGCAGAGCAGCTTCAGGCCTGCATCTCCCCCATGTTATGCCTCTGTGTGGACTGGCAATACCTGGCCTCGGGCCACATGGATGACTCTGGTGCTCTTGATAGCTCTTGGGATCAGGAAACAAACTCAGGCTTCTCTTCTGCATCTTGCATAAATACAACATGATTGGGTTTTCCTTACCTTCTTTCAGTAGCTTCTGCATATCCCCAGAAGTACTTGTGACGGCCATATATGTACACCAGTCCCAAAATAGCGGCAAAAACTGTGAAAGAGAAAAAAGAAAGAACACTGCAGCAGTTTTTTAAAATAAGATATGGAGACAGAGAAAATATTTACAAAATGTGTATCTGAAAAAAATATACAATTCAATAATAAAAGAAAAACAACTTTGGGGCTGGGGTTGTGGCTACAGCGGCAGAGCGCTTGCCTAGCATGTGTGGGGCACTGGATTTGATCCTCAGCACCACATAAAAATAAAATTAAGGTATTGTGTCCATCTGCAACTAAAAAACAAAATATTAGAAAAAAACAACTTTTTAAATGGTCAAAATATTTGAATAGACAGTTCATAGGAAGATAAACCAAAATGCCAATAACCACTGAAAATGTTTAACCAATATTCGACAGTAGGAGACTGCCCCTTAAAACTACAACGAGGGCCAGGCATGGTGGTGCACACCTGTAATCCCAGCAACTTGGGAGGCTGAGGCAGAAGGATCACAAGTTCTAGGCCAGCCTCAACAACTTAGTGAGACTCCATGTGACTTAGTGAGACTTGGTCTCAAAATCAAAATTAAAAAGGAATTGGGATGTGGTTCAGTGGTTAAGCACCCCTGGGTTCAATCCTTGGTACCAAAAAAACTACAATGACATACCACATAGCTCTATGAGTTTTGACAAGTGTACAATTCCAGCTACATGAAGTTATGGAGTGGGCAAAACTAAATTTATTATGTTACTTGGTGTTCTGATTTGGATGTGAGGTATCCCGCAAAAGCTCACATGCGAGACAATGCAAGAAGGTTCAGAGGAGAAATGATTGGGTTGTGAGAGTCTTAACCCAATCAGTGAATTAGTCCCCTGGGATAGAGATTAACTGAGTGGTAACTGAAGTGGCTGGAGGAGGTGGGAGTTGGGGTATGGCTTTGAGGTATATATTTATATCTGGCAAGTGGAGACCTCTCTCTATGCTTCCTGATCATCATCTGAGCTGCTTCCCTCCACTACCCTCTTCCACCTCGAGCTCCAAGGAATGGAGCTGGCTATCTGTGGACTGAGACCTCTGAAACCATGAGCACCCAAATAAATTCTTTCTCCTCTACAAGTGATCTGGTCAGGTCTTTTAGTTACAGCAGTGCAAAAGACGACTGAAACACTTGGTCACAAAGATTCTGCACCCACCACAATGGTGAAAATTTTAAAAGAACAATACAAAGCGGTGAGGGTGTGGGAGCAACTGGAATTCTCATACAGTTTTGTTAGGAATGCAAAATAGTATAGCCCTTTTGGGAAAAGTTCTGGTAGTTTCTTAAAAAAACTAGACATATTATTGACCCAGTAATTCCATTCCTATGTATTTACCCAAGAGAAATAAAAGCATGTGCCCATAAAGACTTGTACAAGAATGTTCATGGCAGCTTTATTTGCAATTAGCCAAAAGAATCGATAACCAGCTGTGGTAGAGGCACCTAGTGGACAGTTAGTCAGCAGGGAAAAGACACTGCTACTCACAACAGCACGGCGGCCTCAAGAACATTCTGCTGTGGGAGTAGAGCATTACAAGGTACATGCTACACGATCCCAGCTACATGAAGGTTTGGCGTGTGCAAAACCAAAGGATGAAAAAGTCAGAACAGTGTTTGCATCTGGAAGGGAGGGAAAACAGGCAGGGCTGGGAGCACCAGCAGCAAACCTCCATGTTCTGTCCCTCCACAGGGGTTAGGCTCACAGAGACTCGTACACCTGTCAAAACTCAGCAAACACTCAAGATCTGTGAATTTTGCTACCTGTGAATTTTAGCTCAAAAGAAGGAGGAGGGGGGAGGAGGAGGAGGAATTTCAATAAGATATCTGGCTATCCTGATGGATGCGAATATCTGTGTCCTCCCTGTGAAGGCCCCTCCCAGATGCAAGCCACCAGAGCCCTCTCATTAATGTCCATGTGTGGGACTGTGATGTGCTGGATGGAATTAGGTTTGCTACTTTTACTTGCTCATAAAGACTTTTTTTTTTAATTTCTACTGTATTCCAAATGTTATTCTAAGGACTGGGTAAGCAGCTCCCTGCCTTTAGAAGATTTTTTTTAACATTTATTTTTTGGTTGTCGTTGGACACAACACGTTTATTTTATTTATTTATTTATTTATTTTTATGTGCTGCTGAGGATCGAACCCAGGGCCTCGTACATGCTAGGTGAGCACTTTACTGCTGAGCCACGACCCCAGCCCCTAGAGGGTTTGTATTCTATCAGCAAAGTCAGACAGCAAACAAAAGAATGGAGGAGAAAATCCCGGACTTGAAACAGCTGTGGGGAAACTGAAAGGGAAGGACAGAGAGGAGCTGGAGGAGGCCACCTTCAGAAAGGGCCCTGAGGGGAGGACGCTGGTCTGCGGATGCTGAAGGATGAGAAGAGGGGACCCAGCCAAGGGCTGGTGACAGAGACGCCTGGTGTCTGAGGAACTTGAAGGGTTCTACCCCTAACTAGTGAATGACTCCCATAAAGCCAAAGAAAATGACCAGGAGCAGCTAATGGGCAGCTGACTTTGGAAGAAAAAGAAGGAAAAGAAAATCATAAGATACCCAAGAAGCCCTTTCCTGCCATGCCGTGGGCCTCATTCTGCCCATCACAGGGACACACAAGGGTCACATGGCCGAGACAGAATCCCATTATCAAAAGGCGCTTTTCTTATTAGTGATTAATATGCCCTCATGTGGGGGAACAGCCACTTCCATTCGTGTCGTTAAGGGACAAAAGCATGAGTGGGAATTTGATCTGAGATTCCTTAGTTGACAGTAAAAATTACAAGAGAGAGATGGATGGGGTTTCCTCTGGAAGCAGCTGGATTGGGGTTTCCTTCTTAGTCATCAAGTGCCCGATATAAATGAGGCCATAAAAGTCACCAGAAATCAAAGGGATTGAATTTCTCCAACCAAGGTGGCCCATGCCGGTCAGACTCCCTACTGAGTGGATTGGCAGTTTGGATAGAGCCCGGAGCTCACCAGGGATCCCCGAGTCAAAGAACAGGGGATGTTTGTAGAACTGCTATCTATAAGCAGTAGCACTATTTTGGGGGGATCCTCCTAAAAAGGTACATAGGTTTGTAGGACAAATAAATGTCAACACCCCCTCCTAGGGCTATTTTCCCTCTATTGGGTAAAAGTCTAGTTAGGGGCTGGGGATGTGGCTCAAGCGGTAGCGCACTCACCTGGCATGCGTGCGGCCCGGGTTTGACACTCAGCACCACATACCAACAAAGATGTTGTGTCCGCCAAGAACTAAGAAAAAATAAATAAATGTTAAAATTCTCTAATTCTCTCTCTCTCTCTGTCCCCCTCTCTCTCTCTCACTCTCTCTCTTTAAAAAAAAAAAAAAAAGTCTAGTTAGACAAATTACCTAGCCTCTCTGTTCCTCAGTTTCCTCATCTGTAAAGTAGAAATTAGTTATAGACTCTATGTCATGTGTAGGTTGTAAATCCTATAAATCTTAAACATGAGACTTAACACTTAAAAATAATGCCTAGCGGGGGCTGGAGTTCTAGCTCAGCAGTAGAGCGCTTGCCTTGCACTTGTGAGGTACTGGGTTCCATCCTCAGCGTCACATTAAAAATAAATAAATAAATAAATAAAGATATTTTTTAAAAAACAATAATAATGCCTAGCATAGTAAGTGTTCCATAAATATTAACTATAATTATTCAGGTGACTATTTAATTCTAATAATTTAATTCTAATTAAATTCTTGGATTTGAAGACAAAGCTTATGTTCTTTTCATCCTCTAGTGCCCAGCATATAGTTTGTTCCAATATTTTTTTAATTATTGAATTAAATCACAAGGGTCAAAGTTGGCAAATCTACCACACAGATTTATGCAGACATGGCTTATTTTGCTTAAAATCATTTTCAGGATCAATAACTGTATGGTTGACTATCTGCTCTTCAATTATTTTTAAGCACCATATTCACTAGGACAGAGTTGTCTTGTATTTCCTGAGTACCTTCATTGAAGTACCATCCCGCCATCCACAATGTAATCAAGAACACAGGATAAAGCTCCACACAGTCTTGCCTGCAGGGAAAAAATAAAAACAGGGGTTGATGTGTGGGAAACCGTGCAATTATGTATTGATTCTTCATTGTAGGTAAAAATCCAGTCTATCCTAACAAAGTAATATAAATGCAGAAAGAACTAAAATGATCCTTCCGTTTAAAATGAATCTTCCAAAGTGGGCCTCAAACATGGGTAAACCTCAAGAAGGGCCCAAATCATTCTCCTACACAGAAGCTGCCACTAAGAGATATGAGTTATGGCTCTTTTCAACATGATAGTTCTGCTGAGCCTAAAGATCATTCTGTATCTTAGCTCAATCCCAAAGATTACTTAATTCATATTAAACAAATTTCTTCTCAAAAATTCCTTCACGTCCATTACCTTCCACCTAGTGCCTTGGAACACTAAAAGATGGTCTTCAAGTAATTCCCCGGCTGGGGACAATGATGCCCATCTGTAATCCAGCAACTCAGGAGGCTAAGGCAGGAAGATCACAAGTTCAAGGCTAGCCTCAGCAACTTAGGGAGACACTGCCTCCAAATAAAAATTAAAAAGGGCTGGGGATGTAGCTCAGTGGCCCTGTGCGCTCTGTGCGTCCCATGATAACTCCACCTCCGTAAGCTGACAATACACCCCTGGGCTCAATCCCCAATTGCAAAAGTAATAATTACTATTATAATTATTATTCTCCTGAAACTTCCTGAAGTAAACGTATCTAATTTCCATTTATGAAGGAAGAAACTAAGGAGAGCCCAGGCTGACTGATGGCATTGCAGAGAATTAAAAGTAGAGAGTGTGCCCATCTCTAGATTCCAAAACTCTGTCTTAATGTCTGCTCAAACCTTCTTTATTCATAGAAGACTCAGATGGAAAATTTGCTGCTATTTTAAGTAAATGGGCATAGTAATAATTCCTCTGAACCTAACAAAGAGAAAAAAAGATGATTCCTCTTCATCCTCCTCCCTGAGCTCCGCCCCCAAGGGATCTTGGTCAGGTTGGCTGAGCTCTTGGCCCACCCACCACAAGCAGGAAGCTCTTCATGGTAACAGGTAGAGGGGCCACGGTAGATTCTGGTGGAAGAGTCACAGTCAGTCACAGGATTATTCACAACTGACCCCACATCCCTCCTTAAATAAGCCTCACGGCTCGATACTCAAGGTGATGGGTAATTGACCCAGAAATAGTTGATGCCCCTGTCACCATGAGCTGTCTTTTTTATTTCTTAATGGAAGGAAAGAAGGAAAAGAGAGAAGGAAGGAAGGAAGGAAGGAAAGAAGGAAGGAAGGAAGGAAGGAAGGAAGGAGGGAGGGAGGGAGGGAGAGAGGGAGGAAACACAATTACAAAGCACATTGTCTATAATTCTTCCTTGTCCATAATTCCACAGAAAACGTGGACAGGTCAACTCAACCTCACCAGATGAGGTCTCAACACATGGGACAAAGCTCCCCCACATCTTTCAACCATCTCTTAACGCTGGGCGAGAAAAACGCATAATTAACAAACTCAAGGCTGGTATAAGTGAGGCCATGGCTGATGCAGAATCCTGAAGCACAAGGGGAAACTTGAAACCCCCCAGAAAAAAAAAAAAAAAAAACAAGAGCAAGGTCCACCTATGGCTCTCTAAGGGCCCATACAGCAGTGATTGTCAATTCCCCGGAAAATCGAAAATGAGTCGTGTAAATGCAAAAATCCTCTCTTCTTCCTTTTCTTATGGTTTGTAAAGCCCAAAAGGCTACTAATGACCCAAGGAAGGTTTCCTTCAGAGCCTAATACTCCCAGGAACCAGAAGTCCAACTTTCTAGTACTCAAAGAAGCAACCGAGAGTCTTCTTTCTGCTGATTCTTATAACTGTATGATTTTCTCTTTTTGATGATGATTGTCTTTTTTTTTTTAATTAATGACCTCTTAAGTTTGTAAGTGGTTATAACAGGTTAAGTGAAGATACTTGATAAATTTGTGTACTCGGAATAACTGCTGCTACCTAAAAAATACCTGGGCTCGCAGCTTCCCGCCATTTCCTTTTCCTTGACTAACTCCATTGAACTGTTCTCCGTGAGCAGAAAGAGAAGGCTAGCAAAGGAAGGCTCTAATCCTTCCACCTCATAGGAATCCTATAGGATCCTTTTTGGGTCCTATTAATTGCCCCATTATCTATTACAGTCCATAATGTACCCTCAGTTACCCCAAAAGGACTAAGTTTTTCCACAACATATTCTAATTCAAAATTCATATTTTTAAGTACCTTCAAAAGCAGTGTAACTCCATTTGTGCTCACGGAGGGCAAAACCTGGGGTCCTGGGGCAGGTTGGCACCATATCTCTGCATCTTCCTCGGCCAAGAAGTGGGTCCCTTTGTTCCCTTTGTTCCCACTGCAGGACTCGCCCTGACCTCACGGCCCAGCTGAGCTCGCTGTACTTGCCCCGAGGCCCCTCTGGGGCTGACCTGCCTCAAGCCCTGGTCCCTGTGAGATGCGGCTCTAGCCTTTTCTTGCTGTCATCTTTCGGGGATTGAAATACTCTCTGCCCACCTGTCAGGGGTCCTGCATTAGCTGACGATCCTCTCTGCTGCCCACCTGCAGAGAACACCAGGATCCCGTTCTACCTGCTCATCGTCACCTCCCCCAGCCCTCCCCCCTGTCATCACATCTTCTGTCACCAGCTCTTCTTCTGAGTCCAAGCCCTGCTTGATGTGGCCCTGGGTGCCCTGTGTGCCCTGTGATAACTCCACCTCCGTCAGCTGTCAGCAGACATATTTCAACTCAAGGGGTGAAATCCTGACAAGTCCTCAACAGTCCCACCAGCCACTAATTACAGTTTCATGAACATGAAAATCAGTATGGAATCGTCTGCAGCCTCCTTCTGGTCATGAAGGCAGACATATCCCATGTTCACGTCACAGGGAGCCCAGAAAACTTCCCCATTGGGGACAGCAAGCAGCCACAGCATCCACACATCAGTTGCCCTTCATGTGGGAACAGAGGGTACAGCTGATTCTGACCATCGACGGACAGTCCTCTACGTCCACACTGAGGGAAACAGGTTGCATCTGCTCATTCTCTGGTCACAGCCTCCTGTGTTCTTCTGAAATTTAAAGTCCCCATGGAAAGATCAGGAGGAAGTTATCTTTTGTCACAACATCAGGGGCCTCCGAGTCTTTGCAGGGGACAATATCAGAATGAAGCTTTGCTAGAAGGACAGTCGGGGAGTGTCACAAGTGAGCGAGGCCATTAACATAGACCAAACACGTTAGTGTCTTTCCACATGTCAGAATTTATTGAATGACAATAAATTCATAAGCGGAATCACTTTCATTGGCTTTAATTCACAAAAAAACTCATGGCTCATTTGGTGTCCTGCCTGAGGTGATCACAAATTCTTTTATTCCTCTCCAATCTTCATTTCCATATCAATAGCACTCAAGTCACACATCCTACGTCACACAGTGAGATACACGGCAACAGAAAGGGTTCAGGAAGCCACAGGTGGAGAGCAACTAGGAAGGCAAAGAATCTCAGTAGGTGATCAGACAAGGGTTTGAAGGAACTAGTTCTGCAGAATTATTAAAGTAAGGGTCTGGACGGACAGACAGAAGTTCCAGAGTGTCACTTGAAATATCAATTTGAAGAGGGCCTCGTGTTATTCTTACAGGCAGGAGAAACCACACTGGGCTGAATCCAGGGTCAGAAAGTCAAAAATTCATCACTGTGGTGACTTTCCTGGGCAAGGCTCATGACAAGGGACAAGGTGAGGAAGTCAGAGGGACGCTGTGTCCATTCTTTTTTTTTCTAATTTTTTGTAGTTATATATGGGCATCATGTCTTTATTTTATTTGTTTATTTTTATGGAAAGGAATATTACTTGAGAGGCTAGTGCTCTGCCACTGAGCTCCAGCCCCAGCCTTCTGTGTCCACTCTTGAGGGCCTCCTTCTTTTGTAGGTCTTAGGAGGGGAGAGTATGTCCTTTGAGATCGATGACTTCCTGGTATCTGATATTTCTGGTTTGATTTGAATTGCTCACTGGTCTAAATGTTCCCCATTTGATAAACTGGCACAAATAAGTTATTTCCAGTTTGTGCCTGGTGGATGTGCTGAACAGATGGTGGTTGTTGACTGGCCCAAACAAGGTGTGGATTAATTCTACATTGGCATTGTGCCCCAAATGGAGTAAGTCATGGCAACCTACTGCTTTATAAAGTGGAGTAACTCAGAGTTAGGCACAGGCTGAAAACCATAGCTCTACACACCAAGGAGCAACTCAGAGCAGGACACAGCCTGCCATCCACAGGGAGCAACCGTCCTGGTTTGCCTGGACTAGGGACATTTCCAGAATGTGGAACTTCAAGCTTCAAAACCATCTCAGGTAAATTTTCCAGGTTGGTCTGGGACTGAGAAGTTTTTTGGGACATGAACCTTTAAGCACAAAAACTGGGAAAGTCTCAGAAAAACTGGGAAGCATTGGTTACCCCAAGGGACAGTCAGGTAGAGATGGAGATTGAGCCGTTAGAGTTGCTGAAACACTTGTGTCCAAGGTTCCTGTACCCTGGGGGCTCGGGACATGTGGCTACTACAGATTCTGCCTGGGTCCAAGACCTGGGAGCAGTGAGGCTGTCCCAGACTAGGTAGCCTTTGCCATTTGGGCCTAGTCTTAGTGATGAAGTAAACTACAAACTTTATATCATTTGGGAGGGGGAAAGAAATCCAAGCATGGCCTGGCTGTTCCAGATCTGGCAGTTTCTAAAACACGAGTTTCCAAACTTTTTGCATAGCCAACACAGCTGCCCAGCCACATAAAAATACATACATGTCCTATGTCACAGGGGGGCCAGCTGACAACAAAGACAGGGGAAACCGCAGCTATGAAGCCCATGTGGGTTGCATACCAACGGGAAGTGAGGGGATTAAATATGTCCCTTCCAGGCCAAACAGTCAAGCAGCTGTCATGCTAAGCTACCTTTCTGCACCCACTGACTGAACCAAGAAGAGCCTGAGGACCTGGATGGGTACAAAGATTGGAGTAAGC